CCGACAATCCCCAGGTCTACAGGACGCTGTTCCGTGCTGCTAAGGCGAAACTCAAGCTTCGTCTCAAGGCATCCATTCCTGGCGAGGTCTGGGATGCTCCCGCCCCTCCTCTGCCAGCTTCCGCCGAAGAGCAGCAGCCCAGCCCTCTCCCGTCGATCCATCGCAGCAGTGCGGAGACGTTGGCTCCTGAAGGCGGTGCGCCCATCTCTCCAGCGACCGCCCAGCCACCAAGCGCAGCAACTCCGGCTGCCAAACTCGAGGCCATCAGCCCCAGTTCACCTCACAAATTGGCCGACAGCGAGGGTGAGGCACCGGTTCCGCGATCCTTTACGGCTCGTCCAGGCAAGTCCGCCACTGGAACATTATGATTGTATACTGACACCTTCTATAGCCTTATTCAACAACCCGACGTCTACTAAATTTGATGCCGGCCTGGCTTTCCGCCCCAAGCCGCTTGGTGCCTGTACATCTTGGGTTGTGTACTGTAACAACTGCAACCACCCAATGGAAGATGAGCACTTCCACTGCAGCGTGTGTGACGGAGGCGATTACGACCTATGCCCTGTCTGTGTTGATTCTGGTATCCACTGCCCTGGCAAAGGCCACTGGATGGTGAAGCGTTTCGTGAAGAATGGCTGCGTTGTCAACAGCACCACCCAGCGTATTCCACCAAAGGTCAAAGACGTCGACCACCAAGAGATTCCAGGAGCCTTTACGGAGGAGAAGCCTGCCGCGGTCTACAGGGAGGAGCCAACCCGCACCTGCAACTGCTGCATCAATGTGTTACCTGAAAAGGAATTTGTGACCTGCGTCGCCTGTGACGATTACGACCTCTGCCTCGAGTGCCACATTGCCAACAAGCACGGTCACCACCCAGGCCATGCTTTCAAGGCAGCCGAAAAGGACACTGTCCTTCCTGCTATTGCAGATTACCTTTGCAACTCGGGCCGAAATGTCCGCCATGCTGCCGTCTGCGATGGCTGCGACAAGTTCATATATGGCGTACGCCACAAGTGCTTGAACTGTCCTGACTGGGACTACTGCTCTGATTGCATCAAGAACGCCAAGATAATCCATCCTCGCCATCGTTTCGTTCCCATTTACGAGCCCTTGGCTGAGCCTCTCAATAGCGGTAATCGTCACTGCGGTATTTACTGCGACGGTCCCCTGTGCAAGGACAAGGAGAACGTGTCATACATTGAGGGCACGCGTTACAAGTGTGCGGTATGCCATGATACCGATTTCTGCCAGAATTGCGAAGCTCATCCAAGCAACACACACAATCACACCCACCCGCTCATCAAGTTCAGGACAGCCGTGCGCAGCGTAAGTGTCACGACTGTCAATGATGACAAGGCAAACCGCGGTTTAGCCAGAATGGGCGATCGCATTCACTCCACCTCCTGCAGCCGATCCGCCGCAACGGAGACCACACCCGCTGCTCCTTCTACCAATGCTGCGACCCAAGTGCAGACTATTGTTGATTTGAAGCCTTCCATGGATGCTCAAGTCAAGAAGGAAAAGATCACTATTCGTGACCTACTTGCCGAGCCTGTCGAGCCTACTCAGATTGCTCCATGGGCTGCGGAGAGCAGCATGCCTATGCCCACGCCTACTATGCCTATGGACATTCCCGTTGCCAAGTCTGAGACTGCTTCTCAGGGTCTTGACGGCCATTTCGTCCGTGATACTGTCGTGGATGGGTCGAAGATCCATGCTGGCTTGCAGTTTGTCCAGAATTGGACCATGCGCAACCCTGGTCCAAATGCATGGCCTGCTGGCTGCAGTGTTCGACACGTCGGTGGTGACAATATGCTCAACATTGACAACACGAGGCCGCTGAGCCAGATTGAGCTCGCAGAGGCTAGCGAAAGTAATGTTATCGGCCGTGTCGTTGAGCCTGGGCAGGAGGTGACGTTCCGCGTCGTCATGAAGGCTCCACTACGTGAGGGAACCGCCATTTCTTACTGGCGCCTCAAGACTGCTGAAGGCATGCCCTTTGGTCACCGCTTGTGGTGCGATATCAGAGTTGTACAGGCCCCAACGCCCATCACTCCTGTGGTCGCACCATCAACGCTTCCAGAAACTGCTGCTTCAGTTCCTCCCCCGCTTTACGAACGCCTCCTTCAGGCTCGGATGGAGAGGATGAGACTTGCACAACAGACGAGTCAACAGTTCCTTGACCAGCAAAGGAATGAGCGCGCGCAGTTTCAGCAAATCAAGATGGAGCGAATCCAGCGCGTACGCAAGGCCGCAGTCGGGCGTGTCTTGGAGGCCCAACGCAAGGAACGCGAAGATATGCGTGCTGCGGAGCTGAATGCCGAGGCTGAGGCAGCTATTCCGGAGCCCGCTGCGGAGATGGCTCCCGAGCCCGTCGCTGAGCTTCAGTCTTCGGGCATGGTTTTCCCTCGTCTTGACAAGGAATCTCCAGAGTCTAGTACCTATGAGAGCTCTACCACCGTCCAGCCTGCGTCGCCTGTATCTCAGAAGAGCACTGTTGCCCGTACTATCACTGTTGCTTCAGATGACGAGTTCTTTGAGGATGCCGAGAGCGTTGCTCTCCACTCGGACGATGAGGGCTTCATGACTGATGAGGAGTACGACATCCTCGACGTCAGTGACGAGGAGATGATCTAAAGGGCACGTGTACAACAAGGGATGCGCGAGTAGTGGTCAGATTGGAAGTTCCATGTACTGTTGCAGAAGCATGGATGGTAAGTAGTGGCGGGTTGAGTCTGGGGTGTTAAAGGGGTGTCTGGTCTTGGATTTGGTCTACTCTCCCTCCACAAACACATACGCAAACACACACGGCGCTGGTGCGCTTTCCTTTTGAGTTGACACACACCCTGACGGAAATTGACAATTTGTACCCGATTCTCTCCTTGTATTTCCTAGTTCATTTATAGGCTCCTACCTGCGTAGTATAACATCTCTTTCCTAGGAACACGTGTGCACCGTGGTATGAGTGACTGGCTGTGACTGAAACGAGTCTGCCTTCGAGGTTGAAGTGCAGGCAGTGCACTGTAATCAAGCTCAAGCTTCCTGTTGTGGCCAATCACATTGTCGTCTCATCTTCTGGAAGTCGGTGTTTGGTAGGTATGCAGGTGATGTGCTATAGTGCCCCTCTATCCAGCACTGCTCAGCTCAGCTCCCCTCCCCCACCAACACCAAGAGCTATCCCGCCAACACCAAGAGCTATCCCGCCAACTCTCCAAAACCTACAACTCATAGCTTCCCTGCCTACCTCTCTCTTACACCAAGCCCAGATCTTTTGAACCAAAAGAAAACATACCACTCGCCCCGCACACATCCGCCCCTTTACCTACCAAAAACCACAACCCATGGCGCCCAAATCCAAATCCAAATCCAACTCCAAACCCAACACCGACGGCGCTAAAAACGAGAGTAGCAGTAGCGGTAGCAGTGGTAAACTCAAGCCCGCAACCGCAATCAACGTGCGCCATATCCTGTGCGAGAAGCATAGCAAGAAGGAAGAAGCAGTGGCCAAGTTGCGGGCCGGGGCAAAATTTGACGAGGTTGCGCGGGAGATGAGTGAGGATAAGGGGAGGCAGGGTGAGTTTTTTGTATTATTTTTTTTTTGGTCTTCTTTTCTGATATTGGTTCTGTTGAGACATGTTTTGGTATTGCACATGTCCATGTCCATGTCCAACCCACGTACCCAAACCCAAGCTAACCCCGCCCCCTCGCATCGCCAGGCGGCTCCCTAGGCTGGAAAACGCGGGGTTCGCTGCTTGCGGAGTTTGAAAAGGTGGCGTTTGAGTTGGAGCCGAGTGGGACTGGGAATCCCAAGTGGGGGGAGGTGAGGACGAAGGAGGGGTATCATATTATTATGGTGGAGGGGCGGCGGTGAGGGGGAGGGAAGGAAGGGGAGGAGGGAGGGTGAGGAAGGAGGAGAAGAGGGGGGTTTGAGCATGGAGTGAGGGATATACATGATACGATATGATACAATACGACCAAGGGGGGAAAGATGTGGGAATGTGATGATTCCAGCTAGAGTTTCATCTTAACATGAGCCTTTTTCCGTATACATATATATATATATATATATATTGTTTTCATTTCTTCATGCCAAAGTGACAAATCTCCCCACATTTAGTCAGGATGCTTGGTTTCCCATGGGCAAACGAAAATAAAAATAAGTCCAGGTAAGAGTGGTTATGATATTATATTCTCAGAACTGAGGCAAAAGGACCAGAGATTTCTATTCTCCCTTCAAGGCTGGGTACGTAGGATATATATATAGTACAATACCTCTCGGGGAATCCCAGCCAATCCCAAAAGAATGAGAGAAAAAAGCCTCACCTACCAGACCCAGGGCAGCATCATTTTCCGCAAAGCTACCTTGTCGGCACCAAAGCGGTCCATGTACCATTGTTTGGTCCCGAGGGCGGTTACGGCGAGATTGGTGGCCACGAAGACGGTGGCGCATAGCAGGGTGCCGTTGAAGTACCTGTGGGCTGGGGCAGCAATCACGGACAAGAGGGCATAGATGGCGACTTCGCACGTGTAATGCGGGCAGAGCAGATTGGGGAAGAGGGGATGCGCGGGCAGCTGGTAGCCGTTTGCCTGGGTGCGAAGGTGGTAGAGATAAGCATGATACGAGTGCTGGAGCACATGTGCTGTGAGCAGGGCTGGGACGAGGATCCAGTCGTAGGCGTGGGTGGCGGGGCCCTCGATCCAAATGGCAATGTTGATGGTTAGGTAGAAGGCGAGGCCGAGCAGCCAGTGGGCGAACCACATGGTGCTCTTGCTGGATGAGGTGTAGGCATACGACTCGAGCAGACGACGGACACCCTGGAGGAGCATGAGTGTCCATACAATCTGCTGCTGCTGGTTGCTGGCCTCCCAGAGCCGCAACCTCCAGCCCCAATACAGCGAGCATGCGACGGAGAGCATGTAAAAGTGGGCAAAGTAGTTGTGGGGAACCTGGAGGGTGGCAGCGTAATCGAGCACGTCGAGGACAAAGGAGGGTTTGGAAGGGACTGTTGGTGCTGTCTCTTTGCTCTTTCCTGGTTCATCTTCTTTTTTCCTGTCCTGGACGGTGGCACGCGAGCCATAGGGTAGGAAGCGGGTGCGCAAGGCAGGAACGGCGTGTAGGAGGAGAATCTAGTAAGCCGGGGCGGTCAGTGGGGTGGCAGCAAGAGGGCAAGCGGTGTCGCGATACAAGAAGAGAGGCAGCGAGGTACGAGGCGCGCAGGAGCATCCTGGGGTGGAAGAGGTCTTCCACGGTGAGATGCATGTCTGTCTGTGGAGTGGGTAGTGCGACGATTTCTTGTGTCCATCAACGGCGTCCGCTGGCTGCTGTTGGTTGATGGTTGCTGTCTAGTGCTGCTGCCTGGTGCTGACTGACTGACTGACTGACGGACCGACGGCGAGGCTATTCTTGATTACACCACTGACAGCGAGCAGTGAGCAATGAGCAGTGCGCCGTGGGTGGTGAGCACTGTGAGCGCAAACTCTTCCGGTGACGGATAGATGATGTGACGCGAGCGGGCTGACGGCTGGGGGGTCTTCTTTTTTTTTTGGCTGCACTGGCTGGGATGAGAGAGGGGAGGGGTTCAATGTTGAGCCAGGGCTTCCAATCACTCTGGCCCCAGCGATCGCCTCGCTCTGAGCGGGTAGGCTCCATGTACTTACTTTGTAGCTGGGATGCGCTGTACATTGCTACAGATGGTAAATAGGTACTCTATGCATGTATGTATGTATACAGATGGTAAATAGGTATGCATGTATGTATGTACTACATCACCTAGCTATCCATTGTACACCACCGTAAGCTGTTTCTGGCTGAGCTTGCAGCAAAAGCGGCCATGGATGGGCCGACTACCTTGCCATTGTACCCTATCTCCAACCAGTGCTGCCAGCTTGAAACACGAACACGGGACTGGGGAGTGAGCAAGAGCCATGGGCAAAAGGTTCAAGGTAGGGTAGCTACTGTATATGTACGCGACATTGGACATCAAGTCGAGGCGGGCGGCTTACACAGCTGGTTGAAAGGTCCAGGCAGGTGGGTAGGTAGGTACGACTGCTATGTGGTAGAGACAGTAGATGGATATACTAGCAATACATTCTACCATGTAGGTACTATGCACATGGTAGTTACGGGGACGCAGGCCTGACAAGATGGCTGTTCCTGTTCCCAATGATGCTGCATGGTACCGTAGTAGGCCAGCGAGCAACGCAACGCCAGACGTCACCACTCGACCATTCAACCTCGTCAGTCTCGACGTGATGTGTTGTTGTTGTTATTGTTATTGTTGCTGTTATTGTTGTTGTTGTGCAAAGGAGAAAGCTTTGATGGTCTACATCGTGTGTCGGGCGCCCATGAGTAAGTCGACCATGTGCGCCTAGATAGCGAGTCGCAGGGTTTGTGTTGCTCTCAGCGCCTCAGGAGAGACGGGGGGGCCGGCCGTGGACCCAAGCCCCCCAAGCCCCCCAAGCCCCCGAAGCCCCTCTCCCTGCTTGCAGGCAGGTTGCTGAGTGGGTGGACCCGTCTTTCGTTGGCTGGCCTGCAAAGCCCTCTCAGCGTCCCTTCTCCTCTGTGCCTCCCGTATCGCGCGGCCTGCCTTCTTTGAGTCTTTCACGTCTTTTGCGCTGCTCTGCTCTGCTCTGCTTTGCTTTGCCCTTGACTGACTCTTTTGCTGCATCCCACTCCAACACCCTCTCTGCACGCACCCATCCCCTCCCCCATCACA